TGTATAGTTTTTAGCTATCAGCTTCATAAGCGATTTACATCTTGAGTTGAATGGAGTCTATTCTTGTCTGTATTTGTTCATACGTGTTTATCTGTGCCTGAATGCACAAAACTGGACATTTTTATTGATCAAAACCAGACACACAGCGTAGAATTGCTTTATATAGTTTATTGGCCTTCATTTTTGTCATTTGAGCCAAGTTCAAATGATGGTAAGTTCAATTTAATGTCCCTGCTGCGTCTGCTAGTTATTTAATTCACAGCGTCAGATAATATTTCCTCTTAATACTGATCTTTTAGAGGCTAAGCTATAACCATAAACTGTAGATAATTTCTTCTAACTTTAAAAGTTGTATTTGAATCATATCACTCTGAAGTTGGAGTAAAGTAAGCTGTGACAGGTTTAGGAGCTAACCAAACGACTGAAGCTCTAAGTCAGCTTGTCAACCCAAACTCTTTGAGATGATTTAGGACTTTCATAAGTTTTTCTTCATGAGTTTTGATGAACACTATTATATCCATTTAAATGGTATTGGGGAGTCACCGAAATTGAATTTCCAGGTCGGTCAACTGAGTATTTGAGGATCTTTGGAAGGGTTCAGGATGATGTTTTTTTAATAGAAGTTCTGATAAGCACTAAATTCGTCAATAGTGCATTTTCCATGGACTACAATGTCACAGTCAGACTCATTGCTCATGATGAACAGCAGCTTATGAGGCTGTAGGCAAGTAGGATGGCAATGGGTGCTTGATGACAGCAGATTTCTAATCTTGAAGGTAAATGTCTGAGCAACACCCTCCACAACCACAGCTCCAGCAGCTGGAGAGTCTTACGGGTGTTTTTGCCTTGCATTTTCACCCTGTGGGAGTCTTAGTCTAAGAGTAGATGTTGAACAATAAATCTAAGGTGTTTGTGCTTATGACCATGAGGGACGGTGAGGAAAACCTTTGGAAAGGTGATGCTTATTCCTATATAGCCAAAGTAGGGCATGAGCTGGCCATTTTCACATTCCACCTTAAAAAGGTACTGAAGTAATCCTTGGTCAAGAAGGCAGCTAACGTCTTCTCTTCTCACGGTCACTTGAGCTGTATCCCTGGTGTTGGCCAACTGTTCGGGTAGTTGGAAAAGTTGGTTGTGCTGTAAGCCGTGATATGTTTTAGCTGTGATGTTCTCTATAGGTGCAGTGAATTTAATAACCTCAGTGGGCATCTTGTGTTATTTGTTTATGTCTGAGGGGACATTGTTAACTTTTCTCAGCTCCTGTTTGTTTGTCTGTTGCACCATATTGTGATTCCCATCTGTGCTGTTTCTCCTCGACCCTCTGTTTTGTTTCTGCCACTAGAAGGAGACTGGCATGGTTAGTGCAGTGTGGAATGATGTGCCCAATGGCACCAGGGTCTGGGTTTGTGTGTCTGTTTCTCTTTCTGTCTTCTGCATGTTTGTAACTGCGTCATTTGTTTTTGACATTCTGCTCTAAGGCTTCAGTATTGATCCTTTGCTGTTAAGCCCTTTTACATTTTTCAGTTTTTTGTGGTACAATTACCACAAGTGTTCGCATTTCTTGAATTTTATTCTGTATGATTTCATCTGGGTGGCCCTTGAGATACAAAACTGATTCTTTTAGAGAGGGGTAGACATGCATCCTTGCTGTGATCAAATTCTCCCACAGAATGTTATTCAGGGTATATTTAGTGTTCAAAAGTAAGGGCACAATGGAGAGTTGTCTGTGGTTTTATCCAAATCCTCAAATACTAAATGCAAATGACCCAAATCAGGAAATTCACAATTCCAACTGTAAGCACTGACGCATCTGTCTTAGGTAAAATAGATAGCCATTTACAAATTAAAAGGGTCAATATGTTATGGTCCCAATGGGACAAAACTGTAGACCACAGGATATTACAATCGATTAACACTGAACAGTTCTCTTCTCTCATAAAACAAACTCCTTGACCTGAACATATCTTGGTTAAGTGTAACAAATTTCCTGGCCTTAAAATAAGCCGGAGCAAAAGCTAAGTTCTTGGCAGACATTCTTCTTAACTTATCAGCTGCATTTGACTAAGTCAACCATGTCATACTTCTGTCCATACTCCTAATCACAGGGAAAGCACACTCCTGGTTTGAATAATACCTCTCTGGTCAGTCATTCAAAGTATCCTGGCTTGGTCACACTTCTACAGTGCACCGCCTCGCCAGAGGGGTCACCCAAGGTTCACTACTGGGACTTCTTGTTTTTGCCATACACGCCACCTCATTGGGGCAGATTATCCGATAACATGGCTTCTCATACCACTGCTATGCTGAGGATACCCGGATCTACTTGTCATACCTATCCTAACATGGCACCCAGCTCCTGGAGCAGTCTGTGCTCATCTCCTGCCTTGACTACAAAAGTTTCCTAATTGGACTTCCAGCCTGTATTGTGAAACCTCTACAGATGTCCCAGAACGTGACAACGCATCTGGTCTTCAATCAGCCTAAAAAATCCCACGTCCCCCCTCTTGCCTTGTTTGTCGAGCTGCACTGGCTAACCTTAACCCCCCACATCAAGTCCAAGTCAACTATGTTAGCCCTACAAAGTGCTTAAGGGTACGGCTCCCATCTACTTGCACTCTGGCAAAGGCTTATGTCACAACTCAGTAAAGGATTGTCATTTAGCAGAGTAAACCACACTTGAAACAATCCAGACTCCTTTCATGTGTGGTTCCACAATGGTGGAATTAACTACTGAGCGCTACAAGACCAGGGGCATCCCTGTCTATCTTCAAGAAAAGAAAAACACCCAGCTCCTCAGAGAGCATCTCCTACCCAAACACTTAGCATGTACCTTCCCACCCCCTCTGCACTTTCTCTCTGTACTTCCCTCTATCTCTACCCTGTAACCTCTGTCTCCTCTAATAGAAAGTGAAGACTGATTTCCTCCTATGAAGCTTATTATTAGCTTTGATGTTTGCTGTATCTGCATTGTAAGTCGCTTTGGATTAAAGTGTCAGCTAAATACGTAAACATGAAACCGAAAGCGCAGCTGGAAAACCAATAAAATAAACTAGAGAGATAAAAAGGACTAAAGAAAGTTCTAGAATAACCGAGCGGGGACAGGGACAATGAAAACAACACAATCATCTCTATTATGCAACCACACAATACAGAGAAAAACAACCCAATGTCCTTGATTAAAGACTTCATTTGTAGTGCGCGGTCTGTTAAGTGTTAAGCTTTTTAAGATTAAAAAGATGAAGCATCTGCTGTGATGAAGCACATACTTTTTTCCTTTTCATTCGTAAGAGACAATCATTTCAATGGCGCATGATTATGAAAATTGATTTGCAGACAATCTGATTTAGTCTCTGAGTTTAGACCTCTTTTTCCTCCCCACACTTCTTTTTGCAGTCACAGACCGCAAATTACCAAAGGAGGCCTTCTCCATCAGTGCCACAGATGAAGCGGCCAACGCAGTGGAGGAGCAGGAGGATGAGGATGAGTGTGAGCTCTACCAGGGCCAGCTGTGCCAGCACACGTGCACCAACATCTGGGGCTCCTACCGCTGTGGCTGCCACCAGGGCTACATCCTTCAGCCGGACGGACACTCTTGTGCACCTGGTAACAAGCTACCATACTGTTACATTACTATGCATTACATTACTATCATATATCCTCTTTTATGTGTTCATACAGTGTCGACATATTGTGTAGCTCATGGCAATCCCAATTTAATTTAATTCTGAGACCTGCAAAAAACACTTGGCAGCAACAGTTAATGTCAGCTAGCTTTGGCTAGTTAACCTCCTGAGACCCTGTGTCCTCATAAGAGGACGTTGCATTTTTGTCTCTCTTTACCATGATACTTTTTTTTTTCTTTCAGCTTTGACCTCTTGACCTCATAGCAGATGCTATCAGACACTGTTTGAAATCTAAAGTAAAATGGTTTTATACACTTCCATCCAATCATGTTCTTATTTTGTAATAGAAAAACTGTAAATGAGTCAATGGGACTGTCAGAACAAAATTGTAAAAACATTTAATTAAATATGTATATCATATATCTTAAAAAAAAAAGCTAAAATGCATGCCAAATAAAAGCTCGGGTCTCAGGAGGTTAATTAGTATATAGCATAGTATGGTGGCATGGTGGTGTGGTGGTTAGCCCTGTCACTTTTCATGAAGAGGTTTTCTGGTTCGAATCCCTGGGGACTGGGGAGTTTGTATATTCACCTGTGTGTAAATGGGATCCACACTAAAAACATCTATGTTAGGTTAACTGAACATTCTAAATTGCCTGTAGGAGTAAGTGTGTGTGGTTGTTTGCTTCTGTGTGGCCTGTAATAGATAGGTCTCCTGTCAAGGACTTGAGCTCTTTAAAAAAGAAACCTTTAACACCTATTGCCTCAAATGTGTGACAGTTCACTTCCATACATAAGGCATCTAAAATAAAGTGTTTTTCTCCAGATGGTGGTTGATACATCTTAACCATTGGGGTACGTATCTATAAATATATTTGAACCTTTGGTTTGCTAATGGGAAATCAGGCCTTAATTGATTAAAGTATTTTGTGTAAAAATACAGCAGAAGAAATCTACTTTTGAGCTTGTTTATTTTGCAGAGATACAAGCATATAATGTGTTTGAGACATACGGTAAAGTATATTATTTTATAATATGAGGTTTACCAGGGCGAGGGTGAGGTGGTTAGCATTATCACTTCACAGCTAAAAGGTTCCCGGTTCGAGGACCCAGGAACTTTCCGTGTGGAGTTCGCATGTTCTTCCTGTGTTTGCGTGGGTTCTCTACTCTGGCTTCCTCCCAACATCCAAAAACATGCGTGTTGGGTTTATATGAAACTTCAAAATGCCTGAAGGAGGGATTTTGCGTGTGTGGTTGATTGTCTCTGTGTGGCTCTTTGATAAACTAGCAACCTCTCTGGGGTTGTATCCTGCATCCTGCCCGTTGTGACCCCCATGGATGGGTGATGTTTACCCACTTTTAAAAGCCACATGCTGAATTGAATGACTTAACTTGATTTAATTCATTTTTCTAGAAATTGCTTACCAGTATGGTATCAATTCAGAAATGAACAAATTTACTGTATTAGAAATAATCTTCTTTGCACTCTTCTGTGCTATTTTCTTAATTAGTTTTTGTTCTCCTTTGTGTGCCTAGATTTAGTTTTTTTTTTAAGTAAGTGATTTCTGAGCAGTACAGCGGGAGTATTCTTTTCCATGTAGTAAGGGATGCCAGAACCAGCATGGATTTTATAACCATACTTGCTTCAAAATCATTTTTAAATCCCTAATGCTTGTTACTTTGTTGCTCTGTAGTCAAGTGCAAGGACAAATACATCCAGCATCGGTCAAATTCTATCTTAGAATGCAGCTGTTCTTCAAATCTTCTGCTATAAACATAAAATAGTGTTATTGATCATCACATTCAGCTGAGATACCTTTCAATCTGCTTTGTCTCTGTTGTTGGCGAATAGTGAGTCCCGACGAGGAAAACAGTGTCAGAGACACCAACAGTCCCGCTATCAGCCCAACACAAACCTCTGCAACCACGGCAACCACAACCCCCACTGTCCGCCTGGATCCCTGTGCAGGTAATGAAAAAAACAAGCACCATCATCTATTTGTCTTCACTGTGAACAATCCAAGTTTCATACCACCAGCGCACACCGTACACATTTGACATTTAGACAAACCTAGAAATACATTCTGCATATTTAATCTTTATAAGAACTGGAGTTTGAATCTTCCATGGCTAATAATAGACATTTTGGATATGTTATTTATGCGGTATGGTATGTTAATGGGGAAACAATGAAAACTAAATTGAGGCTGCAGTAATAAGTTTTATTGACAAACTACAATACAGTAATACAGAGACATGCTTAAAAACAGCACCACTTCTGTAAAGTTTTTTAAGGTGCTCTAAGTGTTGGCTGTTTTCTATTTTGGAAATCTTTCCACAAATCTGCAGAGTTATGTTTTATCCCTGTCCTCTGTGTACTCACATGACCGCTGCCTGGAGGTTAGAACATCTAGTTGCACATCCAATTTTTGCTCCAAAAATGGGATTTTCCTTATAGCATTTATTCCTGAACATGAAACTTTTTAACTTTAAGTTACATTTACTTTTCATTTTCCTTACATTAGTCAAGATGAAAAGGCTCCAGCCCCCCCGTGACTCCACTGGGAATAAGTGGTATAGATGATAGATGGATGGATACTCTAGATAACAGTTACATGTAAGCAAATATTTGTGTATGGTACTGTGCCTTAAAAAAGAACACCCTGTGGCTATTTTCCCATTTTATTCGTTTAATTTGAATAGACATTCAAATTGATATGGATATGATATAATATTTTTGTTATATCTTAAAAAAAATAGAATAATTTTCTCTAAAATCTAGAGACAAAATTAAGTTCCATAATTAGTTAATTCTGTAATTAGTTCATTTATATGATCTCAGAATCTGACTGTGTGTTTGTATTGCTTCAACTTCATCCAGCAGAGTTAGTAACTCTGTCCCTGTGTTTGTGAAGGAATCAAATTATGTTTGATCTGAGTGAGAAGGGAGAGAAAACTCTGCAAGCACCATCTAGTTGCAACTGAAAGTTGCAGTAAAGCAGAAATATATCTTCTGAGTTTGTTACATCAAAGAGAATGTAAAAGCCTCTAATTAAACATAATGGAGTAAAATATTCATCAAGTAGCAAAGATAAGGTCTCAAGATTATAAGAAAACGAATGATGTCCACTGAACAGGCACAATGACTGTTCACAGGACATACCATTAACAGATCTCAAATTAGCTTCAACCACCGAAAATACTTTTATCTCATTATTTTATTCTCAGTTTAAGTAAGCACCCCTAAATTGTTCAAATTTTGGATCTAAGAAGGTTTCATGTTGATAATAAGGGCATATCCTGCCTATTGAAAACAGTAAAGTGATCAGGCTAGTAGGTTTTTTGCTTGTTTTAGATACAGGCCATTTTGGCCGGGATTTGCTTTGACCTTAGATTAAATCAATTTAAAAACTAAAAGTCCAACTCCAAAATAAATACTTTAAATGTTTTTTTAGTATACTTGTTCCTGTCAGATGTAGCATGTTTCCCTATAAGTATTTGTATATGCCTTTCCAGACGTTAAAATGTTTATATTTGCCTCAGTCTGATAAAATTGCTTTTATCAGTTTTTAATGAATGTTTGTGACATGTTTTGGTGAAGTCAGAGAGCAGCAGCAAAACAGCATCTGCTTTCTTTTCCACCAATTTACGTCTCTAAACAAGCAGATCTCTTGAGGATATGAAGTGACCTATTAAACTTCACGCCAGCCCTTCCTTTGTAAAGTGAAGGTTCCATTGTGTTTCTGAACGCCTCACTGAGTTACACATTTTTAGATGTGGTCCCCAAAACACCAGCAGTGACTGCAGACACCCAAAAAAACTCTCATATTTATTTCCATCATTTGTGAATTTAAACTATTTTTAGATCTTTTTGTTCTTGTTTTAACACTTAGTGTAGATCAGTCTCTATGCTAATACTGTCTGCTTGTGATGTGTAATGAAGCCCATAAAGACAGCATCTGCTCAGCACACTGATTTAGCTTTTTCTGAAACAAAAAATAGAATTTGCACAGAAACCAAACCTGCAGGCTGAGGTGATAGAATGTGTCCGTGCGCTGCCAGACTGCCCGTTTAAAGGCCTCACTCTTGAAGTGAAAAGGGGACAGTTTTTGCACAGCATGGGATCTCACTGATAAGAGATTCAATCACAGCTTAACTCCTATGTTGCTGCAATGTCACAAGCTGAATCTTAATCAGATCTAAAAAAAATCTGATCTCTGAGCTTCACATTTCCCGTTCCTTCTATAAATGTACAAGATCCCGCTCGTTCAAACTTTCTCAGATTGTTAATCACAAGAATCTCCAAATTTAGCAAAACCTCATATCAGGAGAGCTTTACATGTGAATATGTTGGTAAGAGATCTATTTCTCCTTTTCATTGGATGTTGTCTCTTAAATGGGGAAAACTGATTCTGTTGTGCAACTGCAATAGCTGAGATGCTTCATACAACAGGAAATTATCAAAGCAAAAAGAGTAAAGCTGAGGTCTTGAAGTCAAGGGTATTTTAAGGTGCAACTCAAAATGGCAAAACAACAGAGAAAATACACCAGGGAAATCATTCAAAAATTCAATCAGCAGTAATACTATTTAGAGTGAATGCCTGTGAGGGAGTTGTAGCTGTGTGGACTCTGGAGATGACTGGGATGATGCTGCTTTTTTCTTTCAGGAAACGGTGGCTGCAGTCAGCAGTGTACAGCCGTGATAGGCCGGGCTCACTGCTCCTGCTTCCCAGGGTTCTCACTGGTGACAGATGGGCGTACGTGTGAAGGTAAGGGCCACCACTTGTCACATTATCACTGGTAGTAATACTGTAGGCACTGTTAATGAAGCTTATGTATAACCCAAAGCTTTCTCCATCAATACGGGTTTGTACAAAGTAACCTGACATTATCCAGATATGAGTACAGACATGTAAGGCAAATGAAAGATAACCATAATCCAGATTTTTTATATACATATATGTTAAATCAAGTCACTTATGAAGAAAGGCAGGTCTTGTGATAAAGAAAAATAAAGACATCAACAAAATATTTGTAATGATTGTCTTTCTACAGCCTGGTAGTAGATAAGGAGTCCAAAAGGCCATTATTCTGCGGCAGATTGAATAATAAAAACAACATATGGTATCTGTTCACTTAGCGGCCTCCTCTCAAAGGTCCAGGGGGATCTTTGACAAAAAGGTCAGAGGTCACAATAGCAATTACTATATAACTTGTAATGACTGAAAATAAGGAAGACTTTAGCTAAATTAGTCAACATCATGTCCTCATTACACACAGCGTGTCCACTCTTTATCCTCTTTATCCAGCCCAGCTAGTGCGGAAGTGGCAGAAGTGCGGAACAAGACAGTGAACACTATAATCAGTTTAGGGAATGACCTCACCTGGATGTGGCTTATGTCATTCATTGATGTTTTATAAATAGTCCTGTGAGTCCTGTGAAACTCAGTAAAATCACTCCCGGGAACAGAAAAATCTGGCCCCAGGAGTGTCCTCCACTCCGCCTTGTTGCTGACTTGTTTTTAGAAAAACGGAATATATCAGCTAGTTTGGTCTAACTCAACTATTGTATTTGTGTAATTCCGGCCTTTATTTCATAAGCTTCCTCTCTTTTGTCACTGTTAACTGTTCAGTGACTGTCAGGTTTACCACAAGACAAGATCTTGTTAATTGTGAAATTTTGAGAGGGGAAATCAGTTTTTATCTAAATCTAAATGATCTTTTGTTTGTAAGAATGGGCTGAGGATTCTTTACATTTGTCAGATGTGTTTTCAGATGAAAACATACCTGCTGTTGCTTAAAAAAATGTATGGGAGTTCATGCTAAGTGACTATAGGGTTAATTAAGGTGATTTTCCTTCCAAATAGAATGTTCACCAGTTAGAATAGGCTTCTATCTTCAGGTGTACCAACCTTGAGATAGTCTGGTCTTAAAGCTAGTAAGGATTCCAGGACGTTTTTGTAATAAATGGCTATTAGTTATTAACATCTTGTTGGAATTAGTAAAATGATCTATGAATTTCTAAAAAGGAAAAACACATTTGTTTGTTTAAAAAAACAAAAGTGATGCATGGTCCACTCCTGCAATTCATCTTAATATGTGGAAATGCCTGACTGTACCAGGCAGTGGTGTGTGTGAAATGGAATTAGAGAGGAAGGCAGTTAGTGCTGTTAATTTATTTTTTTTACTGTATGTTGCAGTGAAACACCATGTGGCTGTTGCCTGGGGAATATATAGGCTGGGAGTGTAGTCCTTGATGAGTTTATGTAATCCATCTGTTCAGAAACTCACTGAATGACACCTCCAGATGCAAAAGCAAAACACTGCAGTTCGTGTTTTCCAACTTATCAAACCACTCTGTGCACAGAGGGAACACTCTTTTTCCTTAACTGCTCCCACATGTGAACTTGTGGCAACATTTGGCTCAGCCTTAACTGAAATAAATCAAATAGCGAGAGTAGATATGACTTTCAAGGGGTTGTTTGAGAATATGCTGAAGATTTAAGTACACTGCAAACAAAGTTGTGGAAAACCTGTTGACGAGTCGCACACAGCCTGTGAAATCCCAGTTAGAGCTCCAGCACCTGCAGTGCTTATGGCCATCTGTGATTTGTTCAGCGCCCTGATTGCAGCCCTGTGTGTGTGCTTTGTCCCGTAGCACGCCCGCGCCATGTTTGCAGAGTAAATAAAAGTGCACCTCTCACTCTGTGATGTGCTCACTCGTACATGAATGCGGTTGAATTCCTGCCTTTAATGTGCCGTTGTTCTCACAGAGCTGTGTGTGAAGCAGGGATGGAGGGCATTTTCAGGAAATCTTATCTGTCAATGCACAGGTCAGATTCCTCATTCTCTGAATTCATTCATGCTGATTAGCAGTGCGCGGGTCCTTGTTCTGATGTTTCCCACATAGACACGTCTCCAGCGTATGTGGTTGCCATGGTTACACATTTCTGATCTTGGACTAAACAAAGCATTAGCAGTGTTGCATTTGCTTCGCATTCCTCATTAAAAAGATATTTGATAAGACACTCCCATAAAATGCAAATCAGGGTGTGATGATCTCTGTGGTTGAATTGTTAACATATTAAACATGATGTACATGACTGGAATTGTTGGAAGGAGATGTGATTTTGCTCCCCCAACCTTTGCAGAATAAATCAACACTGATCCACCGCAGGTTTTTGAGAAATTCGGATCCACCCTGTCAAACAGATTGTGGTCCAACACAGGCTCGGTGTGATTTTCCCTTTATTGCTGAATTCTTCAAATGAAAACACAAAAACGCTCAGCATACAATAATGTCTTTTTTTCTTTTTTTAAGGTGTAATAGAGTCATTCTTGATCAGTTATCATCACATTGCTGAAAATGTCAACCTTGAGAATCCCTTGTCAAAAAGGTCAACTAACTCAGTGTTGATGAAGCTTAATGCATGATTTAACTGCTTCCTCACGGCTTGTTTCAAAAAGCCAGATGTCATAGTGTGTCTTAACCATTAATTACAATTTTGTTCATACTCTATCGTTATTTATTATTTCTTAATGAGCTATCAGGGTGTCATTTTTGTGTGTTCAAGTGACGCTGTATCTATTTTAATATGTCTTTAGTCATCCTCTGACCCCTAAATTAGCCTAATATTGCAGCTACTGCAATTAATCAAATAACCTTTAACGTAGCATTTTGAACATATTTTCATATCTACTTCTTTGTTCAGGAATGCTGGGAGTCTTTCAGGGTTTTGAAGGTGATGGAAAGTCAATATGATGATGGGATGTTGACTACTTTGCAATATTTAATGAATATCTTATATAATCAGTTTCCTTTATCCATCCATCCTTTTTGTATACCCACTTGGTCCAAGTCAGGTTCACATCCCAGCAGTCTTAGGGGAAGAGGCATGTCCACATGGAGATTAGACAATTAGACAAGTAACCACAAGGAACAGTTTCTTTTTTACAGACATAGGAGCTGGTTGTATGGTTTTATTATATATATATTTTTTCTCTTTCTCCCTCTGTCTATAGGATCTCTTTCCTTTCCACTGCTTTTCTCTCTTCCCTGTCCCTCTGTCAGGTTTGGCATTATTGGACACATGTATGTTTCGTAACAAAATGAATAAATAAAGCAGTTTTGGGTAATCAAGGGGGCTTCTCACTAACAAAGCCTCCCTTGGCAAAGCAAATTTGTTCAGCATAAAACGGTACTCAAATTTTAGTTCTGCTGCCATAATACTGAACAGGACAAGGTAGAAAAAATAAAATAAAAACATGCAAGCTCCCAATCACTCTCATTAGGTTAATACTTACCATGTATATTTACTGGACTGTAGGAGTAAGCAAGAGTACGCGATTAGAACCCTCTGCGAACAACAAAAACAAACAAACTCTAGATCACCTCGCAGATGATGCCATATTCCTTTATATTGTGTCTTCTTGATCACAAAAGCAATATTTGTTCTTTTAGTTTTTCAGATTTGAAAAATTCTGTACTCAGTTTCCTTGGCAGTTTCCTTGTCTGTGCATCAGATGATGCTCGATTATTCCCCCAGTACCTTGTATATCACAACAAATGTTTAGTAGTTGATCCTTTTTAACGTAAAGTTTATCAATCGGCTGTCAAGAGCAAATAATACCAGATTCATTTTATTTCCTGCATGTAAAAAAAAAAAAACATTTCCCTCTTTATTGTGATTTATCATTAATAAGTGTCGTTACAAAGTCAATGGATGGATGGAGGCTCAAAAAATCGGTCTATACCTTTCATTACTAATGGTGCCTTTGCAGATGTGGAGGAAATTACAATAATATATCCTCTTGCCTTCATACATTGCATTTTGAAATGAGTGCTAGTAAGAAGATGGTCCCTCTACAGTCCAGAGGACATAGTGTCAGTTACAAAAATTAAAGAAAATCAGTGATAATCTTTGTTGAAAAGCATCTGTGGAGTGAAGAGCTGTCGTAACCACGGTGGTCTTGCACAGGTTTGGGATTACTACGGGATCAAGGCAATATACTCTTTATCTCTTTTGCTCAAAGTCTTTGAGCTTTGATGAAAGGGGCCGGAGTTTCTGCAACACTGACAACACGAAAAACATTGGAAAAAGTTCTGTCCATCCCTGGGCCTGAAGCAAAGCCGGGCCCTTGGGACTCCGTGTGACTTCCTAAAATGTAGATAACAGATGTTTCTCAGCCTGGAAAAAAAGAGAAGCTCTACAAGAAAGTTTTTGTGTGACTTCACGGCTTGTACAGCACATATCCTGTGGACAGAGGATGATTGTTAACTCACTGATAAGATGAGTGTATTTGCTGCAGCCCCACAGAGGCTTCAGATATCACAGTTAAGTTTGCTCTGTCCTGAGAGAGGAGCATTTATATAATATCAACTCACAGGACGAGTAGCTGAGTGTTAGGGGTTCTGCAGCTGTGCACTGAAGCCTCCCTGTGGGAAGCCGTTGCAAGCACACATTTGCAAGAGCAAAAGTTTTCAACGTTATGGAACACACTTCAGAGATGGATAACCAACAGACACAGTGCCAGAACGATGATTACAGTCTGCAGTTCCCTGTACCGTATTTTAGACTGATCTTCAAATCTGGATGGATGCCATAAAATGATCCCTGTCCTGGACAGGGATCATATCTGCATTTTCAGCAAATCACTCACTCGTGATAAGAGAATGCAGAATTTAGAGACTATAGCTCTGGGTTTCAGCATGAGCTCCCCAGTGCCATAAATCAACAGCACCTGTTTACTTACCGTGGTTCTGTTTGACTGATTTAAGGGGGAAAAAAAGCATTTGGAACTGTGTGTTTTGTTTCACACAAACATAGTTAATGAGCAACATTTTCACAGAACTTTCCAAGGCGTGATATCTAAAATCTGCCTTTGGATTTGGACAGAAGTCACTTGTCCAGAGTTAAATGCCGGCCAAACAGCATAAAATCTAGGAGGATCAAGCAGTTATCAGTAGGACAAAAATAAATCTGGATTATCCAAATGAAACAAAGTATCCTTTGTTTTTGCATAATTTTATGCTTTTCAATAACAAAGAGAGATCGTTATAGTTTACAGCATTCTTCATTTGGAAAGATGCTTTATTTTAAATAAAAGTGATGCAATGCAAGTGTTTCTTTACTTTTAGCCATTACAAATAGATTTGCAATAATGGTCGGCTTTGGAGAAGGAAAAATAAACCTTAATTAGGTACCTCTTAACCACAAAGAGAGGTACATCTTTCTCTGAAAGTGCTAATAAGTAGAGCTAAAAGCACAGTCAAACTAAACAGATTACAGTTTTAAATAGATGTAAATGTTTTTTCAATTTTGCATGCAAGAGTAACCAGTCTTTCTGTAATTTCCTCTATCTCCTCATTGTCGCCACTATTGCCTCTAACAGAGTCTTTCTAGTGATTTCCATCTCTAGTTTATTCTTAGGTTGATGCTGACTGTTATGTTGTATCTGAATTTAATTAGGGTTTCAGCATCTTTAGTTACAGCATTGATACCTGCCTCATCTAAACTAAAATGTCATGTCAGTTTGGACTGTACACATTGCAGTATGTTTTTGATTTACTAATTGTCTAATAAGGTAAAAGAAGTTGCATGCTTGGCAACGTGCATGCAAAAATTAAAAAGACATTTGCATCTATTTAAAACTGTCATCTCTTTAGCTTTCAGCCTTCCATCTTAACAGTTTCAGAGAAAGATTTCTCACTCTTAATTCGTTAAACAGCTTTACAAGCTAACGTTGTCACTACCATCCATGAATAATCACAGATTCATCAAATTAATTGCTTGAAATTTGGAAACTTATAGCTGCGAGAACTAATTGGGCACTACAGATACTTCCTCATTTAATTGAAAAAATAGTATTAACTAGGAATGAATAAACTCACTTTTAAATGACACCATGGTCTTAATATTTTTTTTCATCCAGATAATTTGAAGACAGCATTTGTGCACTAATGTTGGTTATACTTAGGTGATGAGAAGGCAGAATTGTGGACAGTATTTTCTCACACACCACAAGGACAACAGTTTAAAGGCCCTGCTGCCTTTGATTATGTAGAAAAAAAAAACAGAGAGGTTTTCCAAGAGACCATACCAAGAGAGAAACCTTGACTTGAACTTAGTCTACTTTGAAAAAAGCAAAACAACATGAGCTAAATCTGTTAGTGGGACAACATTAAGATGTGTCTGAGACCGTGTAAAACTAGAGTTAAGCACAACAGGTGATGACATCTATCTTAAACTGTCTGAAGTAGGAAAGGTCAGTGTAGCGGGTAGATTTGTTTCTTTCCAGGAAAAAGAACTTAAACAGCCTGGACAAAAAATCAATGAGATCTCTGAAACAGAATTAAGACAAAGCTGCAGGCCGAAAGACAAAAGCTGTGATGGGAAAGGCAATAGAATGCTGTAAAACACTTGGTTTAAAGTTTCAAGTGATTGCTCAACATGGGGTTTTCATTAACCACCACATTCACATTAGAAATAGCTTTTACAAGGATTGCTTTTATGAAAAATATTGATTTAGTTTTAATATTAAACACCTCAACTTAACTGGTCTGCAATCAACTAACCCCAGCATTTGGTGTCTGAGTCTATGTTGATTCACTCAATGTTTATCTTTCAGAGTGTAAGAGTCATTCTGACAGACCTTGAAAATACTTCTTCCTTCATTTATCGAATATGATTAGATAACACTATGAATTAATTTGTTTTTTATCCAGGTGATGTACCTGCAGGAAAAATTAAAAAGCTATTTTCCTCTCATCTCTCTGACAGTGTAGGAACTACTTGACTTGTCTTTAGTTTATTATATTAGCTGATCTTCTGCTGACTTACTGCCAGCATCCTCATAACGGTCAGAGAACGGGAACACGAGGGTAGAAGTTCATACAGGTCACCCCCCAGCCCCTGACACAGAGTCTCTGTCTTCTGCAGATGTGGATGAGTGCGTGACCAACACCCACAGGTGCCGGCCCAGTGACCGGTGTGTGAACACGGTGGGTTCTTTTGTATGCAGACCACAGGTCACTTGTCCTGCAGGCTACCAACTGAAAAACAGTATTTGCCAAGGTGAGTTCACTGGTCTTGTTCTATTTAGCCAGTCTACTTAAACTTCTGTGCTAGGGTCTAAAAAGCAGTTAGTATAAATGACAATGTGGTCCTCCTCATTACTTTATGTAAGATTTATACAAGATAAGAAAAACAAATATTTTCAGTACTTACATAAAAAAAAGAGAACTTACAAAACAACCACAAACTTTGATCGAAAGAAAATGAAGGATGAGCCCAAAACTGTGAGTTGACATTTAATTTTTCTGTAGGGAGCTGTCCGGTAGTGTGCTTGTTATTAACACCATCGCCTCCCAGTTTGAATTTGAGGACGGGGCACCGTGCGTGGAGTTTGCATGTTCTCCACGTGTATGTGTGGGTTTTCTCAGGGTGCTCCAGTGGGTGGCGTGTTGGGTTAGGGACAGCCTGATATTCTTTTGTTCAATATTGCAAAGCAACACGATCAAGCTTCAGAAGCAACATGATCTTTAAAGGTCAGATGGTCATACATCGGGACACTCGTTTCTAGCTGCCTTTGATGGAGCGAGACATAGAAATTCAGTTTGGTTCCAAATACTGGGGCGTATGGTTGGTTTGGCTGGGAAAACAAGCAGTTCGGCTTCTTTCGCCGTTGAAAAACATGCATGTTAGATTAATTGGTGACTCTAAATTAGCTGTAGGAATGTGTGTGTGTGTGGTTGTTTGTCTCTGTGTAGCTATGTGATGGACAGACTGCCTGTCCAAGGCTTACCCTGCTGCTCACCCAATGACAGCACTGGACAGGCTCCAGCCCCCATGCAACCCTACTGGGAATAAGGGATAGAGAAAATGTATGGATTTTTTAAAATAGAATATTAGAAGTGTATAGTGTGGATGCACATTGGTATAGAATTAGTTCAACATAACATGATTGATCAGTCAAATAGGATTTTAAACATCCAATGTAATTTGAGGTTTGATTAAGTTAGTTGGGTTTTGACAAGCTACTAAGGTGTTAGCAGTTAAGACTGCATTTTCTATAACTTATACGATATTTCATTATAGGAACACAAAAACGCATTGCTCATTTAATCTTGTTTTGATGTTTACCAAAATTAGTGACTCAAAAACTTTAAATGAATTAGGATGCCTACAAATCTGTTCCACTTAGACATTTCTGACATTCATATGTGGTCATGTCTCAATCTCTTCCCATAAAGCTTTATTTTTTCATGTTATGGTTTTTCTGGCCCTGGTCAGAATTCTTGTGCCCGTGCAGATGTCAACGTTCCGTATGTGACGAGATAATCACTCAACAAGGCACCATCGCACAGGCAGTGGAGCACTTTGAAGCTCCCACACTTGTGTCATCAGCAATTGGCACCAAGAAGACTAATCAATGGAGCTAGATAATGAGGGTAGTATTTAGTCGACCATCCAAAGGGGGAAAAACTAATTAGCTGCATGAAAGCAGAGGAGCGGTCTCTGCTGTGACACACAGAACTCATCCCTCCACCGGTAAAAAGAAAAAAAAACAAATTAAGTCCCTTCGCTTAAAGGAAGGAGCATAACGTGAACTCCTGAGAGAAGGGGCTCCAGGCACTCAATTTAAACCCCGTCCATCGTTCACCACATCCAATAACTGTCATTTAGAAAAGTTTGCTCAGCTTTTGTTAATTGCAATGCTGGATGGTCATATGATGCTTTTATTCGAATTTTTCCTCCAGTTAATGATTGGAATGGTGCATGATTATTGTTATATTGTGCTTGAGCAACAGGGCCACCTTATGTCCAGTTTGCACACTGCAAGCTACGGCTGAAACTGAGAGAGCTGACAGAAGATTGAGGTCCTCCAGTGGCACAAAGCCATCATTTTGGTTTAGCAAGATGTTAGTTAAACTTCTATTCATCCCATCTCTACTTTGCAGACATTGATGAGTGCATGATGAGGGCTCATGACTGCGGTGAGGGCTATGTGTGTGAGAACATAGCTGGCTCTTTCCTCTGTAAATCCAAACACAAGTGCATCAGCGGCTTCACACAGGACTCTCATGGCAACTGTGTTGGTAAGTGACACCGCTTTATTCATCGAGGAAAAGTGATGAAACCATTAAAGTCATAATAGAGAATGAAAGAATAATCTTTAGAAATGTGTCATTGTGCCTGGTTCCTGAGACTTTTTATCCAATTTGGGATTTTTTGTTTCATGTTCTTTTACACAACACTCCTTTGAGATTATTTATGCCAATGTTTGACTGCCACACTAAAATAGCAAAAAATCTGTTACAGACATAGGTTTTCTTTTCTTTTTTTTGTATTTCAAGATGCACAAAATGTTTACAGTTGTTGAAATTTTTAAGTAAGCCACTACAATACTCTGACTGGACAATAAAGACCTGAAGTTCTTAAGAGATGTTGTTAAAACATACATAATATTCCGTTCATAATTACACAAATGTTGTAAGACCTGTCCATAGCTTTCAGTATTGATGGTGTCTTTCCACAGCACAATCACAAGTAACCAATTCCAAAAGCACAAATACATCCTTAGAGCCTCAGAAAAGCCGGCATTTGAACAAATGTCTGATAAAAAGAAAACCACAATCAATCGCCCAATTAACACAGACTTTTCCAGCTTTTTCTCATGTTACTTTCAACATTTGAAATGTTTTCTAAGTAAGATAGAGAAGAAAATGATTAACCTACTTACCTTAACTGTAACACATGTATCCTCTTCACTTGTACACTTTTGTCTCCGTTTAAGTGTTCCTCCTGTGTGTTATTGACAACTTTACAGTTGGCTTATAAATCATTAATTTGAATCAGCATAAAGAAGAATAACATGGCCCAAATCTTTCAATAAACATGAACAAGGTTGAGGATCCAGCCAAACAGGGCCTTAAGATTACCCTTATTGGTTTACTACTGGAGGCATATAATCACATTCATTATACTGAATGAATCTCTGTTATGACCACTGCAAAATGCTCAAATGGAGATACTAAAAATAACCGCTGGACTGCTCCCATTGTCTCCCATGTTCCATCATTCACAACTAAATGTGAGGGCCAATTTGGATCAGATGGATATAAAATCCCCAAATAAAAACATTTTGCTATCGTTCTTTTTCCAAGGTTAGGCTCAAAGGTGCCACCAGCATACAAACAGAAATATGTTCTAAAATTAACTTTAGGTATATGATGAAGTCAAGCACGAGATATGACCTTTTTTGTTTTTTAATTTCTCACTGTTTTCAAAAAAGCATTTTTTGTGGCTGCTATTAGTCCAAATAAAAAAATTCAAAGTCATATTTAGCCATCCTTTTTTTCTATGTTAAGGGGTCTAAAGCTCTTCTGCGTAAATGTTCCTGTTTTTAGGTTTTGTGTCTATCATTTACATGCGACTTGGTTAGTTGCACAGAACTTTAAAATTAGTGTTAATACCACAGCAAAGAATTTTGCCATTGTGATTTGTCAATTAATGTTTTTCAATGGGTAAATAAGCTGGTGATTCTCTTGGAATCAAGGAAACCACAATCTATTCTAATGTGAGTTCTGGTTCGAGTGTGTGTGTATGAAACCAGTGTGTATAATCAGCTGCAGTCTTATAAACTTTAGACGGGAGAATTACAAAAAACACGTGAACTACTTTAGACTTGTCTGGCACAACTGTGATGTTTAATTGGTGAAAAGTTAAATATGAACTGTTCTGTTGAAATGATGGTAAAGAAACAGTTTGGCCTGTCAGTCAGGATTATCCACCCACCGGTCATCACTATTAGACCGGACTTTGTGTGTCTGTGATTCCACAGACATAAATGAGTGCAGCAGCCTGAGTGTGCCCTGCAGCCCGGGTCTGAACTGCATTAACACAGTGGGCTCCTACTCGTGTCAGCAGAAGATAATAACCTGCAATCGTGGTTACCGCGCCAGCCCTGATGGACACGAGTGTGTCGGTAGGTTTTTTTTTTACCGCTTACACCTGCAGCATTGATACAGGAGCAAAGCATTATGGAAGCTCTAATATAATTACATACAGCTAAAAGCACTGAATCCTCACTATTCTCTCCAGGAGTTCAAAAATAATTTAAGAAAAATAATGAATATTATTGTAGTTGACACCTTAATATTTTGACTGTAAAACAAGTGGAAATATTTTTTCAAATCAAATACAGCAAAAAAAAAATCAGGAATATAGTCTTTTCTGTTAATTTTGTGTTATTATTTAGAAGCTGACTTCAGCTTGTGAGTACTAAGAAATAAATTAATCGGTAGCTGTATCCAGCTCATTATGATTACAACTGATTGTAATGTAGAACAAGAGTTCCCCAGTTTCCCATGTCTGACTTATACCAAGATGCTCGCTGTCTGAATAGCACAGGTCTGAGCTGAATGCTGACGTAGAATGAAATCTACTTTATGTCATTTAACTCAACATATGCGTGTGTATCTGCTCACAGAAATGACTGTAATTGTAAATTACACATATTAATCAACCCTTTGTTTCCAGCCTACAGTGGTGCTTTATGCTTAAATACTATAGGCACGGAAACATAGGACTTTAAGGGAATTGTCTGTTGGTTTCAGTATTTCTAAGTGATGAAATCCCACATTGATTCTGCTCGTGTGATGACTGCTAATTGTGTATGGAACATAATGAGTATCTAAGTTGGGGCCAAATTAGGGTCAACCACATGGGAAAAGGGTTTTAGCTGACTCACTAATGAAAAATAAATAGATGGGTTCTGAAAGGGCAACACAAATAAGGTGTCTGTGGATATAATTAATACATGAAAACATATATGGGGCTCATAGAGTACCCAGCGTATCCTGATCAGAATCATGGAGGCTGTTAAATTAGTAGATTACACATTGTAAGACATCTTTATGGGTTGAGCTATTATTGGTTCTCTCAGATGCATGCTGAACCAAGACTGTGAGGTTTTATCTTTGTGTTTCCAGACATGGATGAGTGTCAGATGGGGACGCACCGCTGTGGGCGGGGCCAGATCTGTCACAACACTCCTGGAAGCTTCCGCTGTGACTGCCAGACAGGGTACCAGTTCGATGCCCTCCGAAAAACCTGCAACGGTAGGCCTTTCCTGACTCTGGTCTCTTGGTGATGAGCAGATGGAAGGTTTAATCATGTATTTTTTTGTAGTTATGATGAATAAAGTTATTGAACTAGATTAGATCATTTCTGTCAAGCAGTAATAACAAAATAGAAATACTGTGTCACCTGTTCTTAAATCAATAATTAGTTGTAAATGAAAATACATTTTACTCATTATGTTTTTTTAATGTATTTTGCAAGTATACTCTATGATAGATGTAAGATTGGTTTCACAAAAAAGCAAATTAATCTGTCACTATGAATAACTAAGTATAATGTTACAGATCAAGGTGCTCCTCATCAGGGAATTCAATTATGAAGTGTTATGAAGGTGTCCATTATATTAACATTGAATTGACACTAACAAAAACTGTTTAAATAAGTTTCCACATTGGTGAGTGGGTGAGTGTGGTGAGTGTATATATGCTACTTTTAAGTCGCTTTGGATAAAAGTGTCTACTACATGCATAAACAAACAATAAAAGACCAACTAAACTAGTAACTAGCGTAAATATTGTCTAAGACGTACTGAAAATAGATTAGATAATGATGAATTTAAAATGTGCAAAATATGATTGCATGTTTGTGCATGTATATTTCATTTATATATATTTACATGTATTTATACAATTCTTAAAAGTAAGATGGGTAATCAAAACTGAACAACCCAGTGAACCAGCTGCCATTTTAAGAAATGATTTGATTAGTCAGATCTAATTTATTACATCAGTGGGATTCTTATACAGAGATATGTCTTGAACGTAGAGAACAAGGTATTGTGCCTGGCGTAGCGTCCTGCCCGGTGTTTTGTGGCGCGTATGTGTGCTGTCGGATAATTCCTCCTCCTCTGCTGACAGATGTGAACGAGTGCTGGCGCTATCCTGGCAGAGTGTGTGCCCAGACCTGTGAAAACACGCCGGGCTCCTACTACTGCTCATGCACCGCCGGCTTCTCCCTCGCCGCCGATGGCAAGAACTGTGAGGGTAAGCACGATTTGTTTTTATTTTTCCTCTTCCCCCGTCTCACGGAGAACAATCTGGAAGCTTAAATGCAGCTTTTATCAGATGGTCTGTCTTGTTTTGCTTTTAGAAGTTAAGTTACAGGCGGCACGGTGGTGTGGTGGTTAGCACTGTCGCCTCATAGCAAGAGGGTTCTGGGTTCGAATCCCGGGGGAACCAGGACCAGAGGGTTC